GAACATACCTAAACATAATAAAAGCAATATACAGCAAACTAACAGCCAACATCAAAATAAATGGAGAGAAACTCAATGTTACTCCTCTAAAATCAGGAACAATTCAATGCCGTCCACTACTAATATCTCTTCCATATTGTATTTGAGGTTCTAGCTAGAGCAATAAGACAAAAAAAAAGGAGATGGAGGGGATACAAATTGGAAAGCAAGAATTCAAACTTTCAGTATTTGCAGATGATATGATAGTTTACATGAATGTCCCAAAAATTCTACCAGGGAACTCCCACAGCTGATAAACACCTTCAGTAATGTGACAGGATACAGGATTAACTCAAAAAAAATCAGTAGCCCTACTATATATAGATAATAAAGGGGCTGAGAAAGAAATCAGAGAAACATTGTCCTTTACAATATCCAAAACAAGATAAAATATCTTGGAGTAACTCTAACAAAACAAGTGAAAGAACTGTATAACAAGAACTTTGAATCTTTAAAGAAACAAATTAAAGAAGATACCAGAAAATGGAACGATCTCCAACATTTTGGATAGGAAGGGTCAACATGGTAAAAATCTTCCCAAGGCAATCTACAGATTCAGTGAAATCCCCTTCAACATTTCAACACAATGCTTCACAGCTCTTGAAAGAACAATATTCAACTTTCTATGGAAAAACAAAAATCACAGGCTAGCCAAAACAACCCTGTACAATAAGGGAAGTTCCGGAGGTATCACCATCCCTCAAGTCAAGATCTAGTATATAGCTATAGTACTAAAAACAGCTTGATAATGGCACAAAAACAGACCGGGAGAACAACAGAAAGGGAGAACAATGGAATCAAATTGAAGACCCTAACATTATTCTACACACCTACGAACACCATATTTTTTACAAAGAAACCAAAATTGTACAATAGAAAGAAAGAAAACTACTTCAACAAATGTTGCTATGATAACTGGTTGTTGACATGTAGAAGAATGCAAATAGATCCATATCTATTGCCATATACAAAACGCATGTCCAAGCGAGTCAAAGACCTCAACATAAGTCCAGTTACACTGAACCAGTAGAAGATAAAGTGGGAAGTAAACTTGATCACATAGGCACATGAGACCACTTCCTAAAAACACCGAATAATCCAATTTAAAAATCATGTACAGATCTAAACAGAGAATTATCAACACAAGAAACTGGAATGGCCAAAAAATATTTAAGGAATTGATCGACATTCTTAGCCATCAGAGAAATGCAAATCAAAACAAGATTGAGATACCATCTTTCAAGTATCAGAATGGCTCAGATCATAAACAGTGATGACTGAAAAGTAAGGAAAACAGTACTACACTGCTGGAGGGAGTGCCAATTTGTACAGCCACTTTGGAAATCAGTATGGCAGTTTCCCAGAAAATTGGGAATCAACCTACCCCAAGACTTACCAATATAACTCTTGTGCATATATCAAAAGGATACACAGTCATACCACAAGGACATTTGTTTAGCTTTGTTCATAGTAGCATTATTTATAACAGCTAGAACCTGGAAACAACCTAGATGCCTCGCAACCAGACAATGGATAAATAAAATGTGGTACATGTACACAATGGAGTATTACTCTGTGGAAAACATACAAACAAAAAAACAATGACATCTTGAAATTTGCAGGCAAATGGATGGAATTAGAAAAATCCTGAATGAGTCAATCCAGACTCAGAAAGTAACTCAGAGAAGGAAGTCACTCATAAGTGAATATTAAATGTAAAGCAAAGGAAAACTTGGCTACAGTCCACAACCCCAAAGGAGCTACATAAAAAGGAGACCCTATGAGGGACACACATGGAGGTCCCCAGGAAGGGAAAATAGTTAAGATCTCCTGGGTATACAGTGAAGGTTGGCAGAAAGGAAGTGATGTGGAATGGGATCATGAGGGATCAAGAAGACAGAGTTGGGGAGGGGAAGGAGTAGAGCAATGAAAGAGATAATCTGATAGAGGGAGCCTATACGAAATCAGGAAGAAACATGATGCTTGAGAAATTCTCAGGAATCCACATGGACGACCCCAGCAAAGACTCCTAGCAATAGTGTAGAGGGAGTCTGAATGCACCTTCCCCTTTAATCAGATTAGTGACTATCCTAACTGTCATCATAGAACCTATATCCAATAACTGAGTGAAGAAGATGCCATAAAACATAGACAAGCACTGGGCTGAGTTCCTGGAGTTCAGCTGAAGAGAGGGAGGAGAAATCATATGAACAAGGGGTGGGGGCGCTGCGTCAAGGGCATTATGTGGATAACCACAGAGACAGCTGACCTGAACTAGTGAGAGCTCATGCACTTTGAACCAATGGCTTGGGAACCTGCAAGGGACAGAAATAGACCCTATGATTTTGGGTGACAGTGATGCGGCATGATAAGTTGGGCAGGGTGTAAGTTGTATACATATGTGTCTATGTATATGCATATATATAATAGTATTCAAAGACAAGTGGCTAATGATTGAATAAGGGAAAAGAATTTAAAGGACACAAGGGAGGGCATCTGGAAAGGAATAGAATATGAAAAGGGAGGAATTGTGTAATTCTATTTCAATTAAAATATATTTTTAAACAAGTAAAAATTCTGAAACCACTAAAGAAAATTTTCTTTAAAAATCTTTTATGTCAAGCACAAATCAGGTTTGGTTGATATTAAATAATGAGACTACACAAAGTAGGATAGATAGGAAAGTGAGGTTATATCTCAGAAGAGTTGGTGGGGATCATGATCAAAACACATTATGTAACATTTACAATGTAGTAAATAATTATTAAACAAATAATAATACAAGTTGACATCATGCTATAAAAGATACAATGATTGATAAAAATTTATTACACCCAACTGAGAAAAACAAACATTTATAACATCATTGTTACCCATGAATGAAAACATGGGCCTAGAAGAATCCCAGCATTGCTCAGTTAATTTGCTCAAACCACTGTGATCCAAGAAAATGTAAACAAATATCCTCTCATTGGACTCTGTCACAATTAACACAACCACTTATTCCATGGTGAAATGAACCACAAAAATAAATTACTCCTGCACTAATAGAAATGCTTAGTTCTGCAGCTCAAGAGAAAATTAACAAAAAGTCTATAATCATTGTTTATGATTTCAAAACAACAAAAGCATGACATACACACATACCTAATTGAGATGTAAATATATAAAACTACACTTACCATTGGTTTTCCTCAGTTCCTCCACAAGGCACTGTGCTTCCTCTTGAACACGGTCCTCGATGCTCCTTTTGCCCATGCCCAGATTCCTCAGAGTCATGACTGTGAAGCACCTTGTCTCTTTCCATCTGCTTCCATTGCTAAAAATAATGCCTGAAGAAATGGTAAAACACTCAAATAGATTCTGGGAAGAGATGAGAGATCTGATAGGTGAATCCATAGAGAGGACCAACCTAATGCTAACCCGCAGGAAAAAGTCCAGCCTCTCTTTTCAGTAATCACCTTCACAGTCAACACTAGGCAGCACTCACATGAACATGCACACTTACTTACCAAGGCCTTTATTAAGTCTTTCAGCCATAGGGAAGCTTCCTCTTCCAGCAAACATCTCCCCATGGTCAATCAGAGCTTCCTTCACTGCTTCATACCCATGCAACACCACAGTGGGTTTCATGCCCAGGTACAGGGTGAACACAGGGCCATAGACTTTTGAGAACTGGAAATAGGAAAGAAAATTGTAAATACCAGTGAAAAAAGTCACTTAAAACTCTATGGCGTCTACCTCCTTCACACTAACATTTTCAATCACTGTAGTTTAATATTTTTATTCAGGCAAAAATCAGCTTCAAATTGTACTGAAGCCTATTTATATCTCATTATGCTGATGATCAGTTATGGATCACCTTCAGTGTACCTTGTAACTGATAAGGGATCAGGTGTTTGTTACACAAAGATTACAATGTGTTTTCACATTAAAACAGTCAGCAAGAAACTGGCCACCAAAACCCCACGTAGGCCACCTACCTGCCTACTCTCTCAGTGCCTGCCTACCCTACCCACAATCACTCCTGCCATCCTGCCCACCATGTCCCCATCCCCTAAATTGGACAGAAATGCCCTATTTGAACAGAGGCAACTCCACTTTACTTGTGGAAGTCCGGCCCACAGGTGTAGGAACACTCTACTCAAACCCTGCAGCCAGAAGACCATAGAAGAAGAAGAAACCAAGGAAAAAAACACACATACTATTAAACCCATGCTTCTGTATTTATACATTGAATGGTATGCATCTGACTTCTGATGCCATATTTACAGATTTAGAAATACAACAAAGGACTTCATATGGGACTACAAAGAACCAAGCATAGTCAAGAGATTCCTAAGAACTAAAACACTGTTCAAGGTATAATAATACCTGACCTCAAAATATATTACAGACTTATAGTGATATGATCAGACTGGTACTAATGAAACATTAACAAGTAGACCAACAAAACAGACGAAATGGTGCAGAAATAAGCAGAAAAGCCAGGCCCACTTAGGTTTGTAATGTAAATTTGTAAGTCAGTACAAACCATTCTGCTGAGCAATCCATATTTGGCAGTATGCTACTACAAACAGTGTGGGCACCACAGATGCTGCACATAGGCATGTAATATTTCCTGAAAAGACAGTTCCTTCTCTTGCAGCATTCTTTGCCCCAGACTTAGGTTTTAAAAATATTAAAACTGGTAGGGTTTTAGTTGGGGGGGTGTGGTAGGGGAGGAAGGGAACTGGGATTGTCATGTAATTCAATCTTGTTTGTAATTCAAATAAAAAATATTAAAACTGGTTATACTTATCACCAAATATGCTGAAAGCTTGACATCTTTCTTGAATTTCTTGCATGATTCCATGTCCATTGGTATTTAGTTAAATTAGGCATCAGTTCTTTTAGGGTACAGCATCAAATACAAATAACCTCAGTAAAAATGGATATCTAAAATTCTACTTGACTTATTGAATAATCTATTACTTGCTACTGACCTTCATCCAAAAATAATGGGAAAAGCTGTTTTTTAAGATTGGAAATAGAATCAAATCATGCAATTTTATGGGATTTTTTACTTTTTATGAAATGTAATGCTGTAAATGTCCTTTCAGCTGAAACCTCACTTATTACTGAATTCCTGACAAAGGCCAATTGTAAAAGTCATAAAGTCAAAAAAGGTTTTGTCTTTATGGTTATTTATATCAATACTGCCTCTGATACAGCCTCTGAAAGCTGTTTTCAATAAAAGCAGCTTTCAATGAATCTTCTTCATCAACATATTGGAGGAGCACAAAGAATTCTTACTTTGGTCAAGGATTGGCTGATATTCTTCACATCTATTTGGAGGAAATTGCCAATAAGTGGGAGAGGAGTGGGGCCTGGAGGGAGATTCCTTCTCTCAGAGCTCTGTCTCCAGAATGAGAGGAGAACCAGACATGTGAGCATAAACACCAACACCACAACTGGATCCATGGAGACCCTTCTCACTGACACAGCTGTGATCAGTCAGCATGGAGCTTTTATAACACTATCTGCTGGATCAACATGTTCCTCTTGAAACATCATTGACTGGTTAATCAGATAAACTTTAATCTCTCTCACTCAAGTAGACTTTGTCCTTTTGATAGAGATAAAATAAGATGGTATTTGCACTTGTCCTTTGTTCCAGGGTACCTATTAAGAATTTCATTAATTTAAATTTAACAATACTCATCATTGCCCAAATATTTCTAATAAAAGTAAATAAATATATTTATAATGTGAAAATACTCTTGAGAAGCAATAGATTAATTTTGAGATTTAAGAAAACTACTCAACATTTATATTGTCAGTTAGTGACCAGGGAGGAGATTGAGATTTAAGAGAGTTTATATATTCTATGAAATATATTTGTTTATCAACAAAGTGTTACTAAATATCTTCCGGTGACCTCAAACTGACAATTCTTCTACTACATTGTTCCATGGTCATGCATACTTTAGTTATTTGTTTGTTATATTAAACATCTGGACATACTTTGTTCAACAATATAAGCCTTATATCTCTTTATTTCACTCTTTGGCTATTTATAAAACCAAGGTAACAAAACATAGCTATGAGTAACACACCTTGAATCAGAAAATAAATATTTAGCTTTTAGGTAAAGAAAGTTCTTTGTTTTCAGTGTTGTATAGTTCACCCATGAAATACCTACAGTTTTCTAAAGGTGATGGGACAGAAATGACTATCAGTGTCTCACATCTCAGAGCCAGAAGAATTTAGAAATCAAAGTGACTATCTAAGTGGCATACTTACTCCCCTGGCTTTACCATATATCCTTAAAGAAAGGTATTAGAAATTATCTTAGTCCAACCAATGCAGATGTAAAACTGGATAAGCACAATAGTCTATAGAGTCTGTAACAATAATTGATATAACCTAACCTCCTCTCAAACAGCACCACCAAGTGGATACCATGTACTTAAATGCATGAGCCAAAGGGCATGTATATCTTAACCCACATTTCATTCATTTTTCTCCCTTCCCTGTAAAAAGGCATACAGTTCAAATATATCCATCATAATTGCTTAACTATGAACTATGGCACTATACTGATCATAAGCAGTACCAGTCACACTGTGAATCTAGTTAATAATAATGTTTTAACATAGAAAACAGAAAAGTTTGCTCAAGTTTTGTAATCTTGCTCAGAGATTACAAATATACCTATATAGAGATCTAAGATAAAATTTCAATAACCCAAAGTCATGGTTATCTTAATTATCTACTTCAAAGTAAGCAATAATTTGTTGCCTAAGTGATATTGCTCTAAAATGAAGAATAGGTTTGAAAAAAATAACAGTCTCAGTAGATTTCATATCATACCTGGAGTTTAGCTTGGTTTGGTAAATTTGTAAGTCAGCATGATGCTTTGGATCAACTTTTCTTTATAAAATATGAGAGTCAAAGAACAATTAACAAGAGATGGGCCAATGAGCTCAACTTGCTGGCATTTTCCTTTGCTTTTTAAGGAAAGAGCTGAGGGTAACTCATGGAGCATAACCAAGCAGTGTAACTCAATCAAAGATGAATTGACTCTTGGGAAATATTTTATTGACCCTTCATTACATTTTTTTCTAGTTTGTCTCCTTTCTCATCAACATCATGTTTTGCTATTTAAAAAAAATTACTAGTCAATTTTCATTACATAATAGAATGGATTGCATAGTGCTATTTTTATTCAGTTCATCATGACTTTAATATTATACACACCTTTATTTCCCATATTGGTTCCTCTTCATTCTGACTCCCAGTTATCTTTCTCTTCTGAAATAGCCCCTCTTCTGTGTCTAAAAAATAGCTCTCACTCAAAGCATAAAAAGAAATATTTTATTCTGAAGCCAAATAGGAGGCACAATAGCTGAGAACACTGGAACATTGTTTTCCCCCAAAACCTTGTTCCACCATGTGAACAATTTCAAAAATAAAAGAAAACAAAGACATCAAATTTATGAATGGAAGCCTTAGTTAAGGTTATTATAAAATGTGGAAAAATCTTGAGTACACTTCTCAGATACTTTCTGATACATTTAGCATTTTGGTTGGCAGAAGATATGGATCTACTTATATATTCAAAAAATAACCTAATAATCATAATGAAGATAGGTCATATATAGACTCAGGAAAATCACTACAAAGGAAACTAAGATGGTCTGAGGTCATAGGATTCTGGACTTTTAAACTTCTAGGTTCTTCACAACAACAGAAGTTCCTTTTTTAACAAAACACATGCAAACATTTATTAAACACATATGGACTCAGTATTATTATTTTATAAATTAGACTGCAGAAAATTTGTCCTAGAGCAAAGATATCGAGATATAAATAGCTATAAACAACAACCACAGTGTTTTTTTAAATTGTGCAGCAGGATTAGAAAAATTTTTAAAAAGACCTTCTCATTCCATCTGATGAATCAGCAAGTGCTCAGAAGGAGGAGACCGGGAATATCTGCGCAGTTCACATGGTATCTGTTTCCACAGGAAGTTATATAATGAGTCCCCCATCTATAAGAAAAATGGAGATCACCAACAAGAAGGGTTGAACCTGACCTGTGAGGACCAAGAAGAGGACCTGGAGGGTCACAAAGACTCCTGCCCCCTTCCCCTAAGTTACAGGTAATGATATATATTACAAACCAACAAAAGCAAACCTCTCTGCCACAATTAAATGAGAGAGTATAGAGGAATGTAAGTCTGTGTGATTGGCAAGGAAAATTTGATGGGAATATGTCAGTTTTAGCCAGTCAGTTGGCATTCATGCTTCCCTCTTCATTCAATGAGGTAGCATTCACAGGCAGAATACTCTAGAGAGATATCTTTTTGACATGGTGACCTCTGACAACTAAAATAAAGCAAATAGTTGTATTGGCAGTGTCTTAAGTATCTACCTTGCTTTAATCCATAGAGAAATTTCAATCCAACATCTTAACAATGAATAGAGAAAAGTAGAACTTATCCAAAGACTTGTTTAAATCTTTCACAGGTATGTTTTGAGTAGGGTGTGTTTTCATGCTGTAATTAATATTTTTATCATTTTATGAATCTCTGCTACTAAGGTTGGTTGTAATTGTAACTTATTCAGACACATTTCAAAGTGTAATGAATAAGGTTCTCCAGTGATCATGTTCCCACAGACACACTATTTGAGTAGGTATTCTTAGACGAAATTCAAGAGATATGGTAGCCAAGTAGGAATCTATAATGTCCAAATACAGTGTAATAGAAATATTACAGATGAGAATGTCAGAATCAAGGATTGTCTCTGCCACATCTGCTTCCCTGTACCTAGCCAAAAGCAGTGGATACATTTAGAAGAAAGGGAAGTCAATTCCATGGGCTCTAAACCAGTATTGTGCCAGTCATGATAATGCTTCATTGCCTCATTCCCTTTGGTGTCTGAGTATTGACCTCCTGGAATGACATTAACCTCCCAGCCATGAACTGTGACCACCACTATCTGTGTGAAGAGAGATTAAGACTACATCTGTGGGGTGGAGCCAGCACAGAAACTAGAATTGGTCTCAGTGTTTGCTAAAATTCAGTGAACTATGACAGGTAGGGACATATGTCCCTATGCTTAAGTCAAAGCTTACAGATGGAGCCTCTAAAACTGCCATTTAGTCATGTGGGAACCTGTGCAGTGATGGGACAGACATGCCTTGCATCACTGGGAGGTTTTTTGTGGCTATAAAACCACAATATATCTGAATGGAGTCTTGATGGGGAATAGACTCTCCACAAGACTTTGACACCA